TGGCGACGATCTATACTGTTACTCGGCTGGCAATCCTTCGTATGTGAAGACTCAGCTTGCAGTGGCACGCATCAAATATTTGCTAAGATCAGACGTTTATGTTTGGGCGGTGTGGCGTGGTATGGAACCCCTTGTTCGTCATGGATATTCATGCTGCCTGGCTTCGAAAGTGCAGAGCTGTCGCAGCCTTGGAGTCTGGACACCTGAAGCGACGTAAAATCCAAGGAGCAGAGGTTCCAGTAAGCGACGCCGATTCAATGTGAAGGGCAAAGGTGGGGTCATAATGCTCTCTGCATGAACCCGTCGCAAACGAACTACCCTGCTGCTTATATAAGGTTCCAAAGCATGGAAAGTAAAAATGGCAAACCGCATGGCTCGACGTGTCAGCTACATGCTTCCCGCCTGCACCTGGAAGCCGTATATGCACCGTGCGAAGTTGCGGGTGGGCATTGCCTTGGATCAACCAATGCCAGGCTGGAGTTCCAGTTCCAAATGGGAACCCACTACATTTTGGAGAACCCGGTGAACAGCCTTCTGTTCTCCCACCCAGCGATCAAGGAGTTCAATTTCTTAGCCAAGCAATTAAAGCCTTGTGCCTCGAAACCACGACCTCGTATATTTTGCCAGGACCGACTACGGGCCCACAATGCCACCTTTGTGAATGTCTGCCTGGGAGCCTTCGGTGCTCCAACGCGAAAGTGTGCCACTTTGCTGCGTGCAAACACAGCAGGTTAGACATGGCAAGTGCAGGAAGCCCTTTTGTTAGCGGAGGTCACTTTGGCCGGCACGGCCCCGTTCTTAAAGAAGCTCCGAATCCAGCTGGATTCATCGCGAAGGCCTTTCTTGTTCTCATAATAACCTGTTGTCCAACCTCAACGACCGTCCCTTCAAAACCCTTGCGCGGCAATCCCCTCACACCCAGGTACCGTCTCAATTCCCAAATCCTTGCCTCCCCAAATCGTAAGACAAATCAAACCAGTATTCCCTGTGCCAGGCACCAACTCCATCGCATTCAATCCTTTCTGAAGATGGAAGTCACGAGGTACAAGATCGTGGATGGCAGGAAAAGAGCTGTGCCTGGGCTGCCAGGAGATTGAATTATACAAAGCCTTTGCAAGCGACGCCAAACGTTTCCACGCGTGTGAGTTTTTTTTGAGGCAGGCGGCCGAGATCTACAATCTACAGAAGCATATCCAGGGAATCTGGGACTGAAGGCTGGGTCGATAGAAGCAATCTCTCTCTCTCTCTCTCTCTCTCTCTTTCTTTCTTTCTCGCTATTTCTCCTTCCCTCTCCCCTCTCTTCTCCCCTCTCCACCCCTCTCCCCTCTCCCTCCCCCCTCTCTCCCCTCTCTCCCCTCTCTCCCCTTCTCCCCTTCTCCCCTTCTCCCCTTCTCCCCTTCTCCCCTTCTCCCCTTCTCCCCTTCTCCCCTTCTCCCCTTCTCCCTTCCCCTCGTCTTGCGGTCTCCCCTTCTCCCCTTCTCCCCTTCTCCCCTTCTCCCCTTCTCCCCTTCTCCCCTTCTCCCCTTCTCCCCTCCCTTCTTCTCTCCGGAAGGTGTGAGGGTCCACAAATCCGTTGCACTGTTTGTTTTTGAACAGTAGACATTCTGATTTGGCTACTTTTCGAGCCCCATTTCTGAAACCTCGATGCCTTTAAAGTAGCCCCCCTGAACCCCGAATCCCCCCCTCTCCCCCCTCTCCCTTCTCCCAATCCTAAACCCTAAACCCAACCCTCAACCCTAACCCTAAACCTTTACCCGAAACCCTAAACCCCAACCCCCCCCTCTCCCCTTCCCCCCCGCCCCCCGGCTCATCTCCCGTCTCCCCTCTCCCCCCTTCCCTCCCCTCCAATCCCCTCTCTCCCCTCATCTCTCCCCGTCCCTCTCTCTATTTTTCTTTCTTCATCTGTCCCTTTCCCCTTGTCCCTTTGTCTTCAACAACCCCTTTCTATTTATATCTCTCTCGCTTTCACTTTCCCTCGCTTATCTGTTTGTTGTTTTTTGTTTTGATACTTCGCTTTATCTTTTGCTTTCTCTTGTTCTTTCTCTTCTCTCTTTATGGTTTTTGCTCTCCCTCTCTCTCTATTTCTCTCGTTTTTATTTGTCATTTTTCTTGCCGCTCAAACGTGTACGGTGCAGCAAACAACGCGGGCCCCTGCAAATACCCCCTGAACACTTCAGTTTCTCACCACATTCAATCCCACAGGTGGCCGAGCTCTTGGAAGAGCATCTTAATACCCTGCCGAGCCCCCCAGCGCCAATGCGGGACGAAGATGCTGCTTTCCCTGACGATGGCCTTTCCTCGGAGTCCGACTCAGGTCTTGAGGACATATTGGGCAGCCGAAACGGTTAAGCCAGCACAGCTTCAGAACACTGAAGCGCCTGCAAACAGCCATGATGCTGGGGTCTGCGCTGTTTGAGTGCGCTTGTAGTTTCAGGATTCGCTCATGCTGCTATGTTATAACGTACTGAAGCAAGCTAGCGCATGGAGGTTGGCATGGGGTATGCAGCTGGGCCCTTCCTGACCGATCTACTTAAGATCAGTTCCAGACCTAAAGTTCTGCGAAATTTGGGAAACGAGCCGGACCGTGTATGACCGTGTACCCCCGTGTATCTGCAGCTTATTAAGAGTCGTTAGCGTGTATCAGCGTGTATCCCTACATTCGACACCTGATCGAGTGAACTGGTTCAGGCGTGGCACCCGTTGCCACTCATGGGGAAAGCTAGTGGCAAGAAAGGTGCCAAAAGTGCACCCCCTGTCGGCCCATGCAGTTCGAACGAAGGCTCTCGAGAAGCTTCGACCTTTGAGGATGAACATGGTGAGTATGTTCAGACCAGCCCGAGAAGCTGGGTGTTGCTTAAGACGAAGAACAATGAAGATCGAGAGAAGGCCTGGGTTGGATTTGCGGACAATTGCCGGATGGAACCTGCAGTGCCTGTTTTGAATGGAAAGGGCCAAGCAAAGGGCAAGATGTCCGAAGCAGCGAAGGGCAAAGGTGCTATGAAGGGACCATATAGAGGCAAGAACAAAACAAAGGGCAAGCTGGACTTGTCTGATGCTGCCCAGGCTCCAGCTCCAGCAGCCGATGCTCATCGTGAAGAACCTGAAGCAATGGTTGAGGGAAACCTCAAGGGTAGCAAAGGCAAAGGTAAGGGGGGGACTGTTGCTGCCCAGGCGCCAGCGCCAGTTCCCGGTGCCCCCGCTGCTCATGCCTCAGATGGCACGATCAGCGAGGCTGCCCTGGACCCTAAAGGCAACAAAGGAAAGTTGATGGGGGGCAAAGGTGCAAGCTACCCTAAGGGCACTCGAAAAGTGCCCGACGACTCCTCGACACCGACGACGAGTCCGAGCAGAACAACCGCAAGCCCCAGCCCCAGCCCCAGCCCAGACAACACCAACGACGAAACCCCAGCAAAAGGCCACGGCAAGAACACAACCAGCCAGGAAAACACGAAAGGGAAGGGCAACGACAAAGGCAGCATGGAAAGCACCAAAGGCCACAGCAAAGCCACTGCAGGCAGCGCGAAAGGCAAGGGCAAAGAGAAGGGCGGCCCAGGAAGCACGAAAGGCATGGGCAAAGACACTGCCGGCAAGCCGGGAACCACGAAAGGCAAGGGCAAGGAGACAAGCAGCCTCGAAAGCGCGAAGGGCAAGGGCAAGGACACAGGGAGCGAGGAATGCACGAAAGGCAGGAGCAAGGACACAAGCAGCCTGGAAAGCACGAAGGGCAACACACACCCCACGGAAAGCACGACCGGCAAGGGCACCAAAGGCAAGGGCAAAGACACTGGCAGCCCAGAAAGCACGAAAGGCAAGGGCAAAGAGAAGGGCACCACCGAAAGCACCAAAGGCAAGGGCAAAGACACTGGCAGCCCAGAAAGCACGAAAGGCAAGGGCAAAGAGAAGGGCGCCACAGAAAGCACCAAAGGCAAGGGCAAAGACTCTGGCAGCCCAGAAAGCACGAAAGGCAAGGGCAAAGAGAAGGGAGAAAGCACCAAAGGCAAGGGCAAAGAGAAGGGCACCACAGAAAGCACCAAAGGCACGGGCAAAGACGCTGGCAGCCCAGAAAGCACCAAAGGCAAGGGCAAAGAGAAGGGCACCGCGGAAAGCACCAAAGGCAAGGGCAAAGACTCTGGCAGCCCCGAAAGCACGGAAGGCAAGGGCAAGGGCAACCAGAAAGGCGAATCCACGAGCAAGGGCAAGGGGAAGACCAAGAAAGGCAAAAGCAAGCAGAACGGCAGCCCTCAAAGCACAACAACCACGGAGTCGTCGGAGACTGACAGCCCAGAAGCAACCAGCAAGAAGAGGCCATCCCCAGCCAGCCCGAATGAGGAAAGTCCCAGCAGCAAAGTGGTTCGAAGAGTCTCCTTTTCTTCGGGACAGTCGGGGCACGGGGCAAATGCAACATGTTACTGCTACATAGCCTCTGGACTCTGTAAACGCACTTGCTTTTGGGTAGGATGCACGACCCCCGCGACCTCACCTGCAAGTGTGCTCAAGAAGGCACCGCTGCTTGGCACCATCAGACACACGTTCCAAGAATTTGTTAGCCGTACCAGTCGAACCAGGTCAGGTTTTGCAGTTTAAGAACCCCTAGAGCTACTAAGGCCACATCGCAGCGACACTGGAATTTCAACCCTGACGGATGGCAGTGGTGAAATCGAGATGAAGCCCATCTCGAAGAGTTTCACTTTCCGTGGCAGCCCGAACGATGCTACCCGATTCAACTTCAATTGCGCGATACATGTTACACGTTTTCAATGTACAAGCTCGTTGCCAAGGTGCGTACGCTGACGGATGAGGAGAAATCCCAGATCCAGGCTTCGATTGCTTCGCCTGAGTAGCAAACCAGATCCCGAAAGCGAACCCGACCAACCTCATATACATATATTCTTCATGAGCCCTCTGTATAAACCCTGGTGTGGATGGTTGAGGCCCTCAACGGCCCAGAGGATATCGATCTTTCGGAGCGCAAGCGTCTTAACGAAGGCCTCCGGCGCCGAATGCAAAATCCAAAAGGCCTGGTTCTTGAAACAATAGCTTATAAGCTGAACGTAAAAGACTTCGCTTTGCTACGGATTGGCCAGGATTGAAGAAGGGCCTCCTGCAACAATGGCAGGCAGCGAGCTCACCGATGGAGAAGCTCCCCCCTAAGATGTTTGCGATTCGTTTTAGCCCGTGCACAGGACCATGGAACCAGCTTTTGATTCATCACTTCATCATCAGGTTTGGCTTCTTGAAAGCCTTCTTGCTTGACCGCGATTTAGAGAGCATCGTTGTCGAAGCTTATTATGAGGAGTAGCTTTGCTGCACCCTATCACAAACCCTAAACCCTCAACCCTCAACCCTAAACCCCATATATACGCCCTATAAAACCTTAAACTGTAGAAACCCTAAAAGGAACCCAAACCCTACACCCTACAACACTGGATATGTTCACAAACGTCAGCTGCGAGGCTTTCCGAGAACGAGAACAACGAGATGTTCGAAGAATTGCCGCTGTGCGAGATCAGGCAGCGATACTCAAAAATTGCGGGGGGCGAACAATTCGTCAAGGAGCTGGTGGAGAGTGGGCTGCTCAGATTTCCCATTTTATCTCCAGTAGAAATGACCCTAGCAGACCAGCAGACCCACAAACCCTTTCACACCTCAGGTCAGAAGGGGAAAAAGCACCCACAAACAGAGAACCCGGAATGGCGGATCTACAAGGTATTCAAGGCTGTGCAGCACAACAGCCCCTTGGTTCATTTGATGACCCCCAATCTCATGAACTGTATAGACAACCCTTGCCCCTCATAAACTGCCCAGGCAAGTCTATCAGCAGGGTGGGCAACAAGACGACAGCTTCCTCGCAACCATCCCGAAATCGGGCCGAACGCCAAGCACTGATGGAAGTTGTTGAGGGCAAGGTTGGCAACATAGGCAAAAACCTGGTTTCTTCGGACGCGAAGAAGCCTTTGAAGCCGAAGAAGGACCCCACATAGCCCAAAGCCCCAATCAAAAACCCCAACTTAACAACATTCTACATCGCCCATACCCCAAAATTACAGCCAAGTTACCTCCGGCCAGGAACTTCCTGAAGTCGAGAGAGTGAAGCGGGAATTTCACAAAGACTTGCAAGCGCGAAGGGCTCAGCAATCCTGTCAATTCGTTTGGATGTCGCACACAAATCTAACGTATATACGGTGGACTTCGAGGGTGCTGTTTGGTCATGCTCAGCGCCAAGGGTGCGGACTTTGGCGGACAAAGCCCTGAGCATTGCTGCGGGATTGGCGGAGAACAAGGTCAAGGATCAGGAGGCAGCAGTTTTGATTCGCATGTTTCGGGGTCACGGCCGGGCATCCCTCTCGCAGGCGAGAATTCTCGAGCTGAGTGTTGTCAACGAGCGGCTGACCACTATTCACTGCGAGCCTCTTTGCTTTGCATCTAACAAGTCCTGATGCGTCGGTGTGTGCTTGGATGTATTCGACACTGTTCTGCACCCAGGGTGCAACGCCTTGTGTTTGCCGCGAAGACAATACCAGAATGCAGCAGAAAGCTGGAAAGTTTCAAAGAAGAGTTGGAGGCCTCGACGCCCAGGAACCCGAAATTTCTATGCGCCAAACCCACGCGCACTATCATATGGACAGCAATCCTGTACAGGACAACACCGTGAAGGTCACACAAGCCGAAGACATCTTGGTGTCACATCTGCGACGACACTAGACAGCACCACAATAGCCTCGCCCCAAACCACCAAACACTGTACCATAGACAAAACTGGGCTTCACCACGAAAACCTAAGGTGTCGCTTCAGAGAAGCGAAAGGCTGAAAAGGAAGAGAAGAAAAGGAAGCGGCAGGATGGAAAGGATGGACAGGACGATCAGGAAGAAGGAGAAGAAACCGGACTGGAGGAAGGCGACGAGGCAAAGGATTGGGGCGATGATGCCGAGTGGCCCGAAGACGAAGAGGAGGAAGAACATCCGCCTGCCAAGCGTGGAAAGGCTTCGTGAACCAGGCTCCGATATGAAGTTGCTACTTGGGGCGCGGCAGGCTGCTTGAGTGCAGGGGTCTAACGCAACACATACATACTTGGTGGGTGCACTCATTGCCTGCTTCGATCACGGTCAGACACACGACCTCTAGAGCTACAAAGCTTGAACCTGCAGCGCGCGGGCTGGAAGATCGGTGGAGAAATTAATGTGTCCCTGTTTCTGCACGGCCTCTTGCAGAAGGCCAGCGCGTGAATGCAGCAGATTCGAAGCCAGCGAACCACCTTGATGACGTCTATGCCTTGGCTGGATCATGCTAGGCGGCTCCCGTCATGGTACCTTTTAAACCCTAAACCCTTTTAAAAGCCAAAACCCTAAACCCTAAACAGCCTAAACCCTATACGCCCCAAACCCTAAACCCTATGCCCCAAACCCTAAACTTATAAACCCTATAATCCCGAAATTTTATGGAAAAAACCCTATAATCCCTAATCCGCTTTCTAACCCTAGACCCTGTATATACCCTATGGCCCGATCGACCCGAGGCCCGACCACCCCGCCGCACCCCGAAAGCACAAAACTTCCCCCACATACAGCAGCCCAAAACAGGCCTATATACACCAGGTTACCAATACACAGTTTTCGACTTCAAGGCTCCATAAATGCAGAGCCTTGAGCTCGGCACCAAAGAGGGATGTGTATCATGTCTACATATAAACCATGTCCGATGGCGACTGGGTGCGCCAATTTGTCCGTGACACCTGCGACCAGACTCTACGATTGCTAGCCAATGGACAGGCGGCTTGTGGGCTCAGAACCTGTTGCGATCGAACGGCCTTGATAAACTAAATTTAAGGGAGTTGCCCAACGCACACCCCTTCAACGGCGAAGTTGCAATCATATAATAAGCCCTAACAGACCCACAAACCCTGAACCCCAAATCCCGAATAATGCAGCGCAGGTCCCTTTGACAGAGCTGGCCGAAAGCCTCAGGCGAGTATACCGACTCCCTCATGACATGGTCCCGTGTCTGGGCTTCAATTTTTTGGATTTGTGGACAAGTCAAGAGGGCACTTTGAGTCTTTATGCCAAAAATGCGAGGGCCGATCTTCTGGACTTGGCTACGAGCTTTCGGGGGGAGAACAACTCGTGGGGACTTCTGCGACTCCTGGAGCGCTGGGTGAACAAACAGCCCTGGAGGAGAGCAATGCCAGCCACGTTTCAGCTTCAGCTGACTTCAGCCCCTTGTGCGTGTAGCAAGTGTTGTCATGTTATATGGGAGCCGTCCCAAGCTTCCACCCACGCCGTTTCACAACTAAGGTCTACGAGGATGCTCATGGCAAGACAACCAGACATGTCAATCATCACATGCTTCTACCTCACGAGATATTTGCCTCCCTGCATGAGTCTGGCCATGCAGACCTTTTGTACTCGGATGCGGAGGAAGCTACTTGGAGTCATATACTCTAACCATGCGTGAGTGCTGGCAAAGAGCTGGGGGGCTGAACATACTCAGTTTGCAAGCCAGGTTCGATCTTTCTGGCGGGATCAAGACCAAGAATGGGTGATGTCTCATCCGATCCTGAGCGTGGCTTGGAAAAGGATGTAGGGTGTTGTTGGGTCAGGGCTTTCGCTTTGGAGACTCGTTTGTTGGGTGTGATGATATAAGGCTGTGGAAGATTGGGGTTTATGTATCCCGCTGCGATTGTATGGCGACGGAGCTGAGTTCACAAGTAGCCTGGCCTAATATGAACCTGGAGTCTTTCTGCCAAACCCCAAAGATCCCCCCCATCCAAGAAAAGCAGAAATTCGAGATCTTCGTTATGCTATGCCCTTTGGCTGGTTCGAGGACAATGGATTCCAGGTTCCTGCTGCTCGGCGCTAACACATGAAAGCTTTCTGTTTTCGTATATAGATATTTAGGGTTCTGTGATAAGGTAGGCAGGTTCTTTCTGTTAATCTCGGTTGTGCAATGGCAGGCTCTCTTGCATCAACATGTGCTACCACAAGGAGGAGTCCAGATACAATATCATGCGTGTGCTCCAATGGTCATTCGATGCACTTGGAATCTTAACTGCCAATGCTATCCCCTCGACTCGCACGTTTTTGCTTATAGAGTCATGTCCTGCGTTATACACCAACGACAAAAGCCAAGGATGCGGGAAACACCCATCAGCCGACCCCTGGAATGTGCCCTTCTCAAGCTCATACTGCCCGGCCCGGTTCAAGAAAGCCGGTTGCTGGCTCGCATCACCTGGCCTGAGGGGAATCTGGGACGGAATCCAGGCGGATTTGGAGTTCGTCAAAAAGGTTCTGTTCTTGCAGAGTGCCTCGGGCATGCACCATTATAAAGGCTTCACTTCCCATGCATGAAAGACCTTTGTTTTCGCCGACGGAAAACCTAAACAACAACATCGGCTGATCGAGGGGACTACTCGCGGAAGCATGTCTGCTTCTTATGTGAGGCCCGGCTATTGAGTCATGCGACCCTCTCAATAGACCCCAAACCCGTAACAAACCCTATATAGGCCCTGGCTTGGGTCTACGAAGATGGAGATCCGGATGGCTTGGCTAATGATGTCGAGCTGCTTTACACGAACTTCGGGCCAGCTGCAAGACATCGGCAAACGAAACTTGCCAGCAACATCAACCACATGTGCCTCGAACCCCCCTCCCCCAATTATGCGATCATGATTTCAGGTTGGTGAGATCAGCTGACGAGTTTCGAGACATCCACAGCCCAAGCCCTCTGGCGCAGATCACTGGCTTCTCGCCATGGCGTGCCCCAGCAGGTCCGAGCTTAGAAGCCTTTGTTTTTGTTACATATAAAGGCTTTACCCGGCATATTTGATGGAATGCTGTTCTTTTGTATACGGTTTAGGGATTAGGGTTTACATATAGGGTTGAGGGTTGTTTTTCTTCTGAATTATGGTTTTACGGTTAAACAGTCAAAGCTATAATTAGGCATTGTGCGTTCTTGGTGGAACACCACAACCCTTTAAGTTTAGGGGTGGGATGGGGGGTCGGGCTTTTGGTTTCTAAGGGATCTGGCCAGACGTGATGCATCTGGTGCATCTCGCGATCATACCAGACATGCTGGTTTCGCTTCTGCTGGATTTGAGCGATGGCCCTCGTCGTGATGAAACCCTGGCTGATCTCTGGGAAAGCTACAAGGATTGGTGTGACTCACAAGGCGCCTCGCAGCGAGACGTATATAGCAAAAATAGACACAGGAAAAGTACAACAGTGTAGCGTCTTCAGATATAGCTGTTGTTTTTTTGTAGGGTATCTTAAGGTTTTCCCCTTTTTTTGTTAGGGCGTCTTAAGGTTTTTTCCTCTCGCTGACCAATTGGCCTGCCTCAAGCTAGCAGGAGTCCCTGACAGAGCAGCGCGAAAACTTTTCTCAGCTGGCTCATTGCACCCCACTTCGCGGGAGTACGTGACGATTTCCCAGAAGCTCTGCAACGCCAGCGCCGCCCGCTACATTTTGTTTTGGATGGCCCAAACCCTCCGTGTGCTCATGCAGAACAACCCCAACAATGGTTTCTTCGAGTGCCTGGGCTGCTTGAGCTGTTAAGCATTTTCTGGAGATTCGCATCTTGTTTGAAATAGGAAGCCTCTTTTTCTTGCAAGTTCGATTTCGTGAATGTGAATGAGGCTCCGGGGTGGAGTCACCATGAGCCTGGCTAGCATGGAAGAGACCATGCTTCGAGAAGGCCGCAAGTTCTCGCAAGCTGCGACCGAACGGTATCAGCATGCGTACTTGGCATTCCGTGCCGGTTACAACCGCTTGGCGGATGAAGCGTTGAGGGCCCAGCGATGTCGCTGGCCACTTCGCCCCAAACAACACTATCTCGAACATCTGGCGTACGATTTCCAGGGCCTTAATGGCCGTTTTTGCCACAATTTTTTAAGCGAAGATTTCGTAAGGAGAGTGAAACTCATCGCCGCGAGGGCTCCTCCAGCGTTCCTGTCGAAACATGTAGTGTTTAGATACCTCCTGCAGGTTTGCCTTCGGTGGAGATGAGAAACAAGAGCGATTCCAAACCCATTGTCTTGGCATTCACGGCTGTCTGTGGTGTGTTGTGTCGTGTTTGTGTTTGAGGGCCCCCTGTCAACCATGGACCGATCACCCTTAGCAGTCTGTGCCCTAACCTGCACACCCTACCTGAGTCTTGATGTTGATTCATAGCTTTCGTTTTGGAACAAAAGGGTCCTATCTCTATTTGTGTACCCAAGGGTTCTCCTTTCATTGCGTGGCTCGATTACGCTGCCTGTCGCGAGTTTTTTTTGTTTAAGGGTTCTCGTTAAAATTGCCTGGCACAAGTAGACCACCTAATGCTCAGCAAGGATGGCCCTAATAAGAGTCGAATGAGCTATTTGCTTCTTGTTGATGCTATATACAGACAATGCGCTTATAACAAGGGTCGAACGGCCCGCCCTGGTAAACCCTAAACCCGAAACCCTTAACGCGGGGAAGAGGCCCGGCACAAAAAGTCACCTTATTTGGGCCTTTCCGGCCTGAAACACCTCAAAAAAGGTGACTTTTTGTGCCGGGCCTCTTCCGCCCGCCGTGCCGGCACGCGAAGAGGTGCTCTAAGCTCTAAGCCCTAAACCCCAAACCCTAAACCCTAAACCCTAAACCCGAAACCCTAAACGCGGGGAAGAGGCCCGGCACAAAAAGTCACCTTATTTGGGCCTTTCCGGCCTGAAACACCTCAAAAAAGGTGACTTTTTGTGCCGGGCCTCTTCCGCCCTAAGCCCGAAGCCCTCAGCCCTGAGCCTTGAGCCCTGAGCCCTGAGCCCTGAGCCCTGAGCCCTTAAAGGCTTCCCCGCAAGAGCCCGGCAGAGCCCGGCACAAAAAGTCACCTTATTTGGGCCTTTCCGGCCTGAAACACCTCAAAAAAGGTGACTTTTTGTGCCGGGCCTCTTCCGCCCGCCGTGCCGGCACGCGAAGAGGTGCTCTAAGCTCTAAGCCCTAAACCCTAAACCCTAAACCCGAAACCCTTAACGCGGGGAAGAGGCCCGGCACAAAAAGTCACCTTATTTGGGCCTTTCCGGCCTGAAACACCTCAAAAAAGGTGACTTTTTGTGCCGGGCCTCTGCCGCCCTAAGCCCTAAGCCCTGAGCCCTGAGCCCTAAGCCCTGAGCCCCCTGAGCCCTGAGCCCTTAAAGGCTTCCCCGCAAGAGCCCGGCAGAGCCCGGCACAAAAAGTCACACCTTTTTTGGGCCTTTCCGGCCTGAAACACCTCAAAAAAGGTGACTTTTTATGCCTTCCGCCCTAAGCTTTTGTCTGTCTGAGAAATGGACACACTGGGGATTGAAACCAGGGCCTTCCGCATGCGAAGCGCATGTGATACCACTACACCATGTGGCCCTTGAATACATGAAACATTTCAACCAACATTGGCCAAAGAAAAAAGCTCTTTTTGAGCCCTGAGCCCTGAGCCCTGAGCCCTGAGCGCTGAGCCCTGAGCCCTGAGCCCTGAGCCTTGAGCCCTGAGCCCTGAGCCCTGAGCCCTGAGCCCTTAAAGGCTTCCCCGCAAGAGCCCGGCAGAGCCCGGCACAAAAAGTCACCTTATTTGGGCCTTTCCGGCCTGAAACACCTCAAAAAAGGTGACTTTTTGTGCCGGGCCTCTTCCGCCCTAAGCCCTAAGCCCCTGCGCCCTGAGCCCTGAGCCCTGAGCCCTGGGATTAGAGGGTTTGAGGCTTGCAGTTTCTTGGGTTCTTGGTAAATATGACAGAGAACGTTACTTAATACTTCCTCGGCGGAATTTTTTTGGGCGAGCCCGCGAGGCCCTGGATTTTAAAATGTGTGGCCGGTCCAGGTCCAGATTTCTTAATTAATAAAATTTCTTAACACACTCCTGGGCCGTAGGGTTTGGGCGGGCGTAGAGTCTTAGAGGGCGGGTTCGGGTTTCGAAGGGCCCAGGGTGCGGAGCGTTTTGCATGCGTTTGGACGAGCAGACGAGGCAAGGCTTGTTGTTTGCGCGCTCCAGAAATTTGAAAGACAGCCAATCCGAATTAGAACCAAGCCCGGAGGTCCCTCCACAAGGAAGCCGAACTCTTCTTCATCATGCCCTGTTCCCCCTTATACTAGCAGTTAGGGTTTAGGGTTTAGGGTTTAGGGTTTAGGGTTTAGGGTTTAGGGTTTAGGGTTTAGGGTTTAGGGTTTAGGGTTTAGGGTCTTACTCGGGATTCGAATAGGGGGTACTCTAGTGCCGGGGAACATCCCAACCTAGACCTCCGAGGCCTGAAACCTGAGCAATGAAGCCCTGCACTTCTGACCTTACAGTTCAAGGGTTTAGGGTTTAGGGTTTAGGGTTTAGGGTTTAGGGTGTACAAGAGGCTCTGGAATCTTCAGAAATGATGCCCAAGCAGCGACTAGACCCTAAGCCTCAACCCTCGGCCCTATGCCCGATACCCTAAACCCTAAACCCTAAACCCTAAACCCTAAACCCTAAACCCAAAACCCAAAACCCTAACCCCAGGAGCTTCGCGCCAAATGGCTGGCTTCCGAGCTGGAGAAGGCCCTCACCGCGTAGTGAGCATCCTAAACACTCCCAAATCCCAAAGATTTTATGGTTTAGGGTTTAGGGTTTAGGGACCAGCCAAAATCTGAATCATGAATTTAGTTACCCCTCAGCCCTAAACCTTACAGACCTTACACTACACGGGATGTACTTGCATGTCAGGCATTTTTGGGGGTTCCTACACCTTACTCTTACTTTGGCTTAGGGTTGAGGGTTTAGGGTTTAGGGAGTTTAGGGTTTGGGGTTTACTAAATCCCCGCCCCACACCATACTCTTACTTGGGGACTTCTCAGAAGGTCGAAAAGGGCCTAAACCCTAAACCCTACATCCTGAAAGAACCCGTACGAGATCCGTGCTTCTTGCGCTCTGCAGGCTCGGCAAGCCCAAGAAGAGAGGGAGCAGGACCGACTCCCTTAAGCGTATAGGGTTTAGGGTTTCGGGTTTAGGGTTAGGGTTTCGGGTTTCGGGTTTAGGGTTTAGGGTTTAGGGTTTAGGGTTTAGGGTTTAGGGTTTAGGGTTTAGGGTTTAGGGTTTCCTAGCACCCCTCAGAAAGCCCCTAGAGCCCTAGGACCCTCAACCTCAGCCCCTGTTCAAAGGGGAAGTTCCCTGAATCCTAAACTCACAAAAGCCCCTAACTAAACCCCTCGGCCCTAGAGCTTGAGCCCTAAACCCTAAACCCTAAACCCTAAACCCTAAACCCTAAACCCTAAACCCTAAACCCTAAACCCTAAACCCTAAACCCTAAACCCCAAACCCCAAACCCTAAACCCTAAACCCTAAACCCTAAACCCTAAACCCTAAACCTTTACCCAGCCCTAAAGTTTAAGGGGGGGGGGGGGG